CCCTCTGAAGGCCCCTCCTGGTTCCTTCCAGTCCCTGAAGAGCCAGGCCACAGCCTCCCTAGCCCTGCTCTGGAGAATGTTCGAGAAGGGCAAGAATGTGCAATGGAGAGGGAACGGGCATCAGCCAGCTACACCCCTGGATGCCCCCAACTACACCAGATCCTCTACCAGAGGAAAGAAAGACACGGAATCCGGCCAGGGTGGTGGCTCGCACCTGTAATCCCAGCACTTTGGGAGGTCGAGGCAGGTGGATCACCTGAGGTCAGGAGTTCAAGCCCAGCCTGGCCAAAAAGGTGAAACCCTTGGCGGGGCCGCGCTGGCTCAAGCCTGTAATATCCCAGCACTTTGGCAGGCCGGAGAGCGGGCGGGAGTCACGAGCCCAAGGAGAAAGCGAGATCCACGGCTAACCCGGTGAAACCTCTCCGTCTCTACTAAAAAAAATACAAAAAACTATGCCGAGCCGGGCGAGGTGCGGGCGCCTGTGAGTCCCAGCTCCTGGGAGGGTGAGGCAGGAGAATGCGTGAACCCGGAGGCGGAGCTTGCAAGTGAGCTGAGATCCGCCCACTGCACTCCAGCCTGGGCGACGCGTGAGACTCCCGCTCTCAAAAAAACAAAAAAAAAAAAAAAAAAAAAAGGTGAAACCCCTTCTCTAATAAAATACAATTAGTCATGCATGACAGCAGGTCCTGCAAGCTCCCGCTACTCCCAGTGAGCTGAGGTGGGAAATCGCTTGAACCCCAGGAGCTTGCGAGTTGCAGTGACCATGAGCTCACAATAGATGCACTCTACCTGATGACAGAAATGAGACTGTCATCCTAAAAAAGAAAAAAAAAAAAACACGTTCGCGAGCCCCGAGGTACGCGGATCACAAGATCAGGCAGTCAAGACTTGACCAACCACGTGAAACCCCACGCCTACTACAAATAACAAAAATTAACCTGGGCGTCGTGGCCGTGGCACCCTGTATCCCAGCTACTCACCGGGGGCGCTTGACGACACGGAGAATCACTTAACCCAGGAGGCGAGTTCAGTGAGTTGAAATGCGCCACTGCACTCCAGTCTGTGACAGCAGCAAGACTGTCCGTCTCAAAAAAAAAAACAAAAAAAACAGCCGGCGCGTGGCTCAAGCCTGTAATCCCAGCACTTGGGAGGCCGAGCAGGGCGGATCACGAGTTCAGGAGATCGGACCATCCTGGCTAACAGGCGTGAAACGCCGTCCGCTACTCAAGAAACTGCCAACAAAACCTAAGCCGGCCGCGCGCGACGGTTGCGCGGCCCCTGTAGTGCCCAGCTACTCCGGCGAGCGCCGTGAGGCCCGCAGAATGCGTGCACCCGGGTGCGGCAGCTTGCATGACGCTGAGATCCGGGCCACTGCACTCCAGCTCTGGCGAGCAGCGTGAGACTCCGTCTCAAAAAACAAAAAACAAATAAAAAAAATAAAAAATAAAAAAAACAAAAACAAACAAACCACAAAACACAGAATCAAACCTCGCTCTCTGCAGCTCAGCTGGGGACAGGCAGCCAGAGTCAATGCCCACGGCTCATCCGAGGTCTCAGGGACAGCAGGGGCAGGGGTGACAGGATCAGGGTCCCCAAAGAGAATGCCGGTCCTCAAAGCAAAGACGCACACACACAGCCTGGCCCAGACTTTACTCGCTCCCGGCCCCACGGGCACAAGCAGCACTGCCCCGAGCATGGGGGCCCCCGCCTGCGAGGAACTGGGCGGCCCCAGGCCTCCTGGGGATCCCTGCCAAGCTGGCCCCAGGCTGGAAGGTACATGGGCAGCACACAAAACCAGGATCCACTCACTGCCCACGAGTGGCCCTCACAGCTCCCCGGGATCTGTGTCCTCAGCGCAAAGGGCCTGGCAGGGAAGGCTGGGCCTGGTGGTCAGGCAGGGAGGAGCTGTGTGGTCACTGGCCACTGGCTCTCTTCTGCACCGCCGGCTCTGACAGTGCCTGCTGCTGCAGCCGCTGGATCAGCTCCGCCACGCAGATCTTGAACAGGGGTACAGGGTCCTAAAGGGAAGAGGGGCTCATGGTGAGGCCAGGGAAGCCCAAGGCAGCTGGAGTTCTGGTGGGGATGGGACCAGGAGCTGCCGCGCAGAGGAACTGGGGCATGAGAGGCCCTGGAGGGCAGAGCCCTGTCAGTGAGATGAGAAACCCCCTCCCTTGGGGACACTGGAGGCACGCACCTGCCCCTGTCCCATCCCTGTGGTTGTGGATAAACAGAGGGAATGGGGGCAGGCAACTGCCATGCCATCAGGGGCTCCCTGTCCCGACAGCTACCACAGGCTCCAGACCCTGGGATGCTGGTGGCCGAGCAAACCCTTGGTGCAGGAACCCAATCCTCCTACTGAGGGTCCTGTGGCAGGACAGGGTGGGGACTTGGAGGGGAGGGAGCGGGCCATGCTCCTCTGTGGGGGCAATGCAGAGCAGCAGCTCCTCCCCTAGCCCACCCGGTGCAGCAGCCCCTCATGCAGGCTCTCTCCAAGGCAGCACATTCCCAGGCCCGAACACCAGGCCCTGGGCAGGCAGCAGCGCTCACACACTCACCTTTTCCTCCAGAAGCCTCTGCTTCTCAATGGCCTCCTCCAGCGTGAGGCCCACCCACTCTGCCTCCTCCTCTGGGATGGCAAATTCCTAGGCAGGCAGAGATGGAAAGGGTGGTGAGGCCCAGGGCCGAGCCAGGAGGCCCCAGGGGCAGGGAGCGGGATGGAAACCCTCACCTTGTATTTGTCGTAGATGGCCGCCCGCCGCTCGGGGTCCTCAGGGTGCAGCTGGGGGTCCTGCCGGGCAAGCCGCAGCAGCATCCCTCGCTTCAGGTCCATCCCGAACTTGGAGCACAGGTCCTCCTTCGGGGTCTGGCAGGAGGCTCACATGGGGCCAGGTGCTGGTGGCAGGGCCCCGCCTACCCTTCCAGCCAACCCACCCGGCTCCTCTCTAGCCGCTGGTGGTCCCAGGACAGGACAGAGAAGGCCCAGGTGGGGCCGCCTGATCCCACGGGGGTGGGCTCAGAACAGAAGCAAGTCCAAGAGCAGGGAAGGGGTCAGCTGTGCTCACTCAGGCCCCACCGGCAAGTCAGCCACCCACAGAGCAACGGCCTCTCCTGCAGGCAGGAGACTCCACAGGCGCTGGCCAGAAAGGGGCACGGCCCCATTCACGCTTTCCCAGTGGTTCTCCTGCACAGATGCCAGCGCGCCCCGGTGTGATGCTGACCTGGGGCTCCCTTGAGTCTGACTGGCCCATCCCAGACCCTGCTGTGCACTGGCTCGCCCCACCCTGCTTGCCTTGAGGATGTAAAAGTCGAACCCGTAAGCCTCATCGATGAGGTCCAGGGTCCGCATGGTCACGGTCACTGTGAACTTCTTGTCCAGGATCTCACTGTAGAGCTCTCGCTCAAACAACTGTGGCTTCCACACCTTCTTCAGCCTCTTGGAGAGCTGAGGGTGCAACGGAGCCTCTGTGAGTACTGCTGCTTCCTCCTACAGACCAAGGGGGACCCAGGACAACTGCCCTCACCCTCCCCTGGGAGACTCCATCACAGACCCACTGCTGTCAGACTGGGGACTTGGAGCTGAGTGGGCCGGCCCCCAGCCCAGTGCTGCCCTAGCCCAACCGCTGGTCCTGGCTGTGTACCCAGAAGTCAGCTGCTCCCCAGCAAGCTGGGCGTTCCCGCCCTTGTCACATGGTTGCTGGATGTGTTTCAGAAACATGTGCAACCCCACAGTTCACAGGTCGTCACATTCCAGGCTGGAGGTGACACAAGTCTCCCCAGAGGCTTCAGCAGTCCCGCCAGGAAGTCCATCATAAGCAGCCTCGAAGCTCTGCTCGCCTCCCGGACCTGCTCTGCTCCACACACAGGCCTCCTCCTCATCCTAACCTTACCCTGACTCCCCACGGCCTCTGGTTGCTCCCCGGCCTGAATCACCCCACCTCACCCCTAGTTTATCAGTCCTGTTTGCCAGAACTGCGGTTCTTGCTCTGTATGCCCCTTTGCTGGAGCTGTGTCTCCGCCAGGCTGTAATCCCCAGAGCCCATCCACATCTCTCCAGGTACCCCGGGCGTTCCGCACAGCCAAGCCCTGGGAGGAGCCCCTGAAGCCCGCCTGCCGACCCACCTTGTCGTTGTTGGCATATCTTTGGCCCAGGATCCAGCCCTCGCCGCCCCACAACCCCCGCTGGGACTCGGGGGGAAAGTAGATGGGGATAGGCACGTCCTCCACACGCTCCCGCTGCCCGTTCTTGGGGTTGATCTTGAACTTGACCCCATGAGGCCTATAGTGCACGGGAGTGGGCGTCCGCTCCTCCTCCAGGGAGCGCAGGTAGTGGCCAGGCAGGCGGGCACAGATGCCCTCCCGCAGCCGCAGCCGCTTCCAGAGCCACACGGGATACTTGTGTAGAGGCATCGCGGGCCTGGCGGGACGTGAGGGCTCGCAGTCACCTGCAGCCTGGCCCGGCCCCCGGTTTTCACCACCTACCCCCTACCCCGGCCCCGGGCTCCTACCCTGACCCCCAGGCTCTGACCTCCTACCCCCTACCCCTACCCCGGCCCCCGGCTCTCACCCCCTACCCCTGCCTCCACTCTCACCTCCTACTCCTGCCTCCTGGCTCTCACCTCCTACCCCCTACTCCTGCCCCCGCCCCGCACCCACCTGCCCCTCCCCTTCTGCCGCGGTCCCCCCGCCGCACCCCACCGGCCCGCGCCCACCTTTCAGCGCTCTAAACCCGGCGCCCCACCGGAACCGGAAGCCGGTCCGCCGCGCCTGGACCTCCTCCCACCGCTGACTGGCTGCAAAGGCCATCCGTCTACCCCTCGTTCCGCCCCCTTTAGGGACCGTAAAAAACACCCTGCAGAGACAGCAGCAGCAGCTCAAGGCACCGTTGGCAATGTGCGGCCCAGGCGTTTCCGCAAAAGGGCGACGCGGGCGGGGCGGGGGTTGTTCTCCCGGGGCCCACTTACCCTACCAGGGAACGAGCGCAGAAAAAATGTAAAATCTCGTTTAGTTTGAAAAATCACTGTAGAATATTAAATTCACCAATCACAGATAAATCAGATCTACATAAAAATATGTCTTAATGTCTTAGAATTTCCTTTTACTCCAAAACACCCCATATATACATATTTCTCTTTTATAAGCTTAGAGATTGCTTTGGTGGTCAAAGGCAGGGTGGCTGGGGGAGGTAAGACCCTCAGGAAAGCCACACCCCGGACAAGACCCAGAAAGGAAGCCCCCAGAGCCAAGTGTAGGAGGACCCCACCCGGGTCTCAGCCGTCCACTTCCCCAGGGTGGATCCAACACTCACAGGCCTCAGGGAGGGGCCAGGTGCTGCTCCTAGTCATTGCTTCCCCCACAAGGCTTGCATGAGGAGCAGAGACAGCCCAGTCTCCTGAACACCCGCAGGGCACAGACAGCCCAGTGCAGGGGGCAGACACCACCACAGCTCCTGGGACCCAGAGAAAGCTCCCAGAGGGAGGCCCAGGAACGCTGGGGTGGGTGGACTGGGCTGCGTAGGGGTTCCTTGTGGGCCAAATCCCCAGAGCAGCAGAGCACACCAGTCCCAGGAGACTCTTCTCAGGGACCCAAGGCTTCAGAGCCAAGAAAAAGGGAAAGGCGGGGCGGAAGCCTGCATCCCCAGCGCCCATCAGCTTTGGTGGAGACCTTAGTGTCCAGTCCCTATGATGACCACAGCAGCAGAGGGGGATCCTCCATGCCTCAGGCAGGCTGGCATCAGGGCCACATAGGGGCCAGGAGCAGGGGTCTCAGAGTTCACAGCTCCCAGCTCCAGTGGTGGGCTCAGGGTTCCTGGGCTCCATGGGTCTCTTACCACAGCCTCACCAGGGAACAGGACCATAGGGAGTCCTTCACCCCATCTCTAGCCACCCGCAGGCCAGCGGAGCACACAGCCCCATCCTCGCACAGGCACCTGTGGTCTCCAGGTAACCAAGCCCAGGCCCCAGGGGCCACTGCAGACAGCAGCTGGGATCTGCAGAGGGACCTCAGCCAGCAGGCAGCTGGCGGGGAGAGGTGCGTGTGAGGAGGGGTGGCCCTCTCCTCAGTAGGAGGAAGTGAGAGGGTACCCAGGCCAATTTTATTCAGCTGGAAATCAATCTGTCCAGGGCTGAACCACGTGCCTCCCCCTCGATGCAGCTCCTGGCTGAAGAGGTCATCAGAGCAGCAGCTGTCCCCAGGCTGGTGTCACGTCACGGTGTACAGTTCCTCCCGATCGTTCTTGCAGATCTGATAGTGGCAGGGGAATTTCTGCGAGCAGGCCCAGGGCTCAGCGTGCTCATCAGGTGGCGGCAGCAGCAAGGCTGCGCTCCCGGCCAGCAGGACGTGCCAGATGCTGTGGGTGTAGTAGTAGTTGTCGCTGGTCATCATGGAGGTATAGATGGCAACGCCCACGGACGCCATGGAGATGCCGGGCAGGAGGTAGAAGGCCCAGCGCTGCCACGAGGTGGGGTAGCACTGGCGCCGGTGCCCGCAGCGGTAGGTCTAGAGAAAACAGCCACAAGCCAACAGGCAATTCAGTGCAGCCTAGCTCCAAGGGGCCTGTGAAACAGGCGGTTTACTGGGGGGCCCTTGCCAGGTTCTGGGGCAGCAGAACGGACAAGGGTGGGGCTGCTTTCAGGGGCTCAGGCCACAAGCCACTGGCGTCCTCAGGCCCCGGGCCTCATGGACAAAGCCATGCTGGGCCTCTGGTGGGGTGGCCGATGGCAACCCCCAGGCAGATACGGGGCGATTTTCACTGGTTGGAGCAAGACCTGCGGGGGAACTGATGGCCAGAAGGCCAAAGGCCAGGCTCTCTTTCTGCGGAGCATTTCTGTGGCAGCTGAGTGCCAGCCAGCCCGGCTCCGTTACCCACGATGGCCATTGATCACGAAGGCAAAGGAGGGCAGGCCCCAGCATGTTCCAGATGCCCCTGCGGTCCAGCTGCACAAGGACCATGGCGGAGGACAGTTGTGCCCAGAAGAACCAGCACCTGGGCAAGGAACAGGAATGACTGCAGGGTACATTCTTCTGAGGGCTGAAGGCCCAGCAGGAGCCAAGTGTACCCAGGCCCGCTAAGCACTCTGGCCTTGCACCCCCTCGAGCTGGCTGCCACCTTGCAGTCCCAGCCGAACCAGGCGCAAGCCGGCAACACGCCCCCCTGTTCTTGGCATTGCATCCACAGGTGGATGTGCTCTGTGGGCACCTCTGACTACAGGGGGCAGATGAAAGTGCTCTACCTGCACCACACACTCACAGCTCTGTACCTGGCAGAATCTCTATCAGGGCCGCTCCAGCCACTGCTGAGGAGTCTTACCCCCCGTCTCCAATTCGACACTTTCTGATCATACGTTCTCTGCCTGAATGTGCAGTTCTGCACAGCCTGCTGTCCTGGCCCACCCCCTCCCCGCTGCTTGGGGCTCCCTTGATTTGGTACCCCCTTGCAGCACCCAGCCTGTAGGTTCCCAGGAAGCAGACCCAGGAGGCAGAGCATGCAGCTCACCACCTAGGGCCGAGTCTCCCCATGCCAGGCCAGGCTGGCCACAGTCCCCAAAGCATCCTTGCACCAAGGACCCAGGGAGCCACGGGTTAGGGGGCTTTCTCGAGGGTAGGGGGCCTGGGCCTTCCCCTGCCTTACCATCTTCCTCCTGGCATCCTCCA